GAGAGAGATAGAGGAGAGAAAGAGAGAGAGAGGAGGAGAGGAAGAGAGACAGAAAGGCAGGCAGAGAATAGAGAGAGAGAGAGACAAAGAGTCAGAGGAGAGGAAGAGAGAGAGAAAGAGAGAGATAGAGGAGAGAAAGAGAGAGAGAGGAGGAGAGGAAGAGAGACAGAGAGAGATGAGAAAAAGAGAGAGAGAGAGAGAGAGAAAGAGTCAGAGGAGAAAAAGAGAGACAGAGGAGAGGAAGAGAGACAGAAAGGCAGGCAGAGAATAGAGAGAGAGAGAGACAAAGAGTCAGAGGAGAGGAAGAGAGAGAGAAAGAGAGAGATAGAGGAGAGAAAGAGAGAGAGAGGAGGAGAGGAAGAGAGACAGAGAGAGATGAGAAAAAGAGAGAGAGAGAGAGAGAGAAAGAGTCAGAGGAGAAAAAGAGAGACAGAGGAGAGGAAGAGAGACAGATAGGCAGGCAGAGAATAGAGAGAGAGAGAGACAAAGAGTCAGAGGAGAGGAAGAGAGAGAGAAAGAGAGAGATAGAGGAGAGAAAGAGAGAGAGAGGAGGAGAGGAAGAGAGTCAGAGAGAGATGAGAAAAAGAGAGAGAGAGAGAGAGAGAAAGAGTCAGAGGAGAAAAAGAGAGACAGAGGAGAGGAAGAGAGACAGATAGGCAGGCAGAGAATAGAGAGAGAGAGAGACAAAGAGTAAGAGGAGAGGAAGAGAGAGAAAGAGAGACAGACAGAGGAGAGAAAGAGAGATGGAGAAGAGAAAGAGAGACAGAGAGAGATGAGAGAAAGACAGAGAGAGAGAGAGACAGGCAGAGAGTAGAGAGAGAGAGAGACAAAGAGTCAGAGGAGAGAAAGAGAGACAGAAAGACAGAGGAGGGAAAGAGAGAGAGAAAGAGAGAGACAGAGGAAAGACAGACACAGACAGACAGACAGACAGACACTGAAAGACATAATTCTCCTCTTTCTGTGCAAGGGATTCTAAACCCACCCCCCATGGCCTCCCAAAGTGGGAGGACACAAAGAGGGGGCTGGGAAGGGCAATGGGCAGACCCCAAACTCAAGCAGGGAGACTGGCCCAGGAACAGGGCAAGCGGAACCCACCCTACCCTTACAGGTGGAAAGGAAAAAAAAAGGCTCTTATACATGTGCAGAGTGCCTTTCTTTTGCTCTTGAAACACATCTGTTCCCTTCACAGCTGGATTCTAGCCCAAGCACCCTTCCTAACAGCCCTTGGGGTCGAAAGCGAGGGAAGAGTCCCATGGACAAAGGGAGACCCAGATGCCCCAATGCAGGGACTTCGTAGCCCAAACACTCCCAAGTCACGGAAACCTCCACCCCCCCCACACAAAGGGTCCAGCCGAATCCCTCTGTAATGGGAAGGGGGGGACCACCTCCTCTCCCTCTCCATCAAAACACCACTAAACAATGAGAATGTCCCGCCTCTTTAAGGGTAAAGGTTCCCCTCGCACATATGTGCTACTCATTCTCGACTCTAGGGGGCGATGCTCATCTCCGTTTCAAAGCCGAAGAACCAGCGCTGTCCGAAGACCTCTCCGTGGTCATGTGGCCGGCATGACTCAAGGCCGAAGGCGCATGGAGCACTGTGACCTCCCCACCAAAGGTGGCCCCTATTTTTCTACTTGCATTTTTTACCTGCTTTCGAACTGCAGAAGCGGGGACAAGTCACGGGAACTCACTCCGTTTACGCGGTGCTAGGGATTCGAACCGTAACCTTTCTGATTGACAAGCTCAGCGTCTTAGCCGCTGAGCCATCTCATCCCTGCCTCTTTAGGGCAGCCAAAATCAGCCCCCTCCCCATTCCCTAGAACAGTGTTTCTCAACCTTGGCAACTTGAAGATGTCCGGACTTCAACTCCCAGAATTCCCCAGCCAG